CCAAGAGGTAAAGAAAAAGATAGTGAAGAAGTGTGGAGTGTGGGTTTATAAGGGTCCGAAGCATGGACTTTGAGGAAGGAAGACATCAGAAGTTTAGAGGCTTTTGAAATGTGGGTGTGGAGAAGGATGGAGAGAATGACATGGATACATCGAAGAACAAATGAAGAAGTAATGGAAGTTGTTGGGGAAAAAAGAGGACTAATGAAAATGATTGCGAGAAGAAATAAGAACTGGATTGGACACATTCTACGCAGAGAAAGATTGTTGAAGGAAGTGATAGAAGGAAGAATGGAAGGGAAAATACCTAGAGGAAGGAAAATAATTGGCATGCTGGAGGAACTGAAGGAAGGGTCGTTTGTGAAAATGAAGAGAAAGACGGAGAACAGATTGGAATGGGGAAGATGGATGCCTAGGACCTGCAATAGGCAGAATACTTAAGACGAAGAAGAAGAAGAAGAAGACTGATTAAGATAATGAAGATGAACAATTTCCTTCGCCAAAAATAAGGGGAAAAGTGCAAGGATATCCATGCGACAGTGAATGAACATCTGATGGGATACTTCATCCAATTGTGTTTGATTTTAATGATACAAGGTATCGAATATCAAGTCATCCAGAACTTTCAGTGGAAACAAAGAAAATTGATATTTTTTGTCAGATATTTGACCAGGAGATCGTGAAAGATATCGTCGTAGAGATCAACAGATATGCTGCACAAACTATGAGTGCGCAAGAGAATGCAGAATGCGCAGAATCCCGTAGATCCGGCGGGGATTTAAAAACTCACCACTTGAAGGGAATCTTTAAATACTGAAGGGGAATTATTAAATGCTGAAGTTAAGTTTGGGAATTCAGAAGTGTACAGTACTAAGGGAGGGTAGAGCAAATGAGTTTTCTCAATGTCATATTCATATGATATGCCTTAGTACCCGTAAACTTCTGTCCCCCCCCCCGAAGGTCCTTATTGAATATGGAAGACAGGAGCAGTGGATCATTTGGTACTCTTGAGTAATCTTCTGAGTAGGATCCAGAACCAAGATTTATACGAATAGATAATTGGGATATAGATGGAGGCATAAGGACCCTTCCCAGCTGGTGGAACACCACAAACGTGCCAACTGGTAATGTGCTGGCCCTTAAGCAGTCCGGAAGGTGGCGGGCGTGCCGGCAAGTGGGACATGTACATGGTGGCCCACAACCCAGGGACGGTGGTGGGCCACCAGCTTTCTGCCCCAAATGTAGGTAGTGGGCCACAACCTACGTGCTATTTTGGAGAGGCTAAGAACTCATTTTGATGCCAACATAGATTTTATTTAGTTTAGGATAAAGAAAATAGTGAATAAAGAAATCATGTGCAGATAGAGAGTCAGAGAGTCGAAAAGATATCACTATGCAAGATATGCAAGGCAACAGTAAAGACAATATGGTTTAGAATGAAAGCAATGCCGATGCATACATCGTAAAATGCCAGATAAAAGTACTTCGAGTGTCCAGAAAGCAGAAAGTAATGAGAATCGCTTGCAAATTTTTAACTCTACATGCACTGCACTTCCCACTGCTCGGGCATTTAGATCAATATGTAATCTCTCTATTTGCTGATTTTCAAGTGAATCCGTTGAGAAGTGCTTACAGAGCGAGCCTGAAAAGACAACTCTATAACTCAGTGCAACGCTGCCTGTTTTCAACAATTTGGATATGGCTACAACCGCTGAGAACTTTCGCTTCTACACGTTCACGTGGTTCAAACTTAGCATTACGGCCTTTGCCTGTTACACGAAACGTGCTTGTTGCAAAAGGCCTTGTTAAGCTAGTAGCAGAAAGCCTCTACGCCTTCGCGGAAAAAAATGCCCAGATGTGCTTCGCGCCGTTGATGCGAGCAGCTTTGTTGTCCTCAGTCGGTGCGGTACCCAAACTGATGCCACGTTGCGCAGCTGCAGGTCTTGTGTGAGCACCTCGTGGTCAGTGCTCTTGCCAACGTCGAGCCACTCATCCAGCTCTCGAGTAGTCACTAGGCAGTCTTCATCCACCAGCTCTCGCACCGTCTCGACAAGCTCTGGCGTCTGGGTGGACCTTGGACAACTACTGTGGGGCTGGTCCAGAAAGGAAGGCTCCTCCTCCTTTTCAGGTACTTCTCTGAAGATGCTGAACCACCGGAAGCCAGTACACTTGACATACACGGGGACCAGCTCCGTGTAACAGGCAGCGGTCGCAATGCTAAGTTTGAACCAAGTGAACGCATTGATGCGAAAGTTCTCAGCGCTTGTAGCTATATATTCAAATTGTTGAAAACAGCCCGCATTGCACTGAGCTTATAGAGCTATCTTTTGAGGTCAGCTCTGTTAGCACTTCTCAACGGATTGACTTGAAAATCGGCAATCACAGAGATTGCATATTGATCTAAATGTCCGAGCAATGGGAAGTACATTGCATGTAGAGTTACAAATTTACAAGCGATTCTCATTACTTTCCGGACACCCGAAGTATTTCAATATTTACGTACTTGATTTCAATTAGTGATATTAGTTTCTAAAATATTTGCCTGTTGTATCCCAGATAACATTTTTCGTGGGGCCCACGTTGGCCCAACGTTGTCCTCCAACGTCAGGATAAGTTGGCCCAACGTAGGCTACCCACGTAGGCCCCACATAAAAGTGACCGCTGGGACAACGTTGGCAGTAAGTAGGATAGCAATGTACAACCCACTTAAATCCCACCAAATACAAAAGATGCTCCTTTGGTCTTTCCACTGATTCAGGGTTTATCTCATGTGCTTGTGCTGGTATCAGTGGTGTTTCTTCTTCCAGTTAGGTCCACATTGATTTTTAGACAGCCAAATGTCAGAATAAGTGGAGGCATAGCTCATCAATCGTCAGCTAGAACTATAGATGCAGATTCAGAGGATGCCTGAATCCTCCCATTACATCAGACTGCAGTTCCTCATCAAATTTACAAAATGTGGAAATGGAATGCCTCTTAAAACATTTCATAGTGAAGTGCTTAATAGTTTCTCCAAAGCACAAAATACAATGCCACTCCATGAAAATCAGAAAAGAGCAACACAAGTATATGAACGCAAAAAATATAATTGAACAAAAACAAATATAAATGACAAAGATAATTCTCGAAATTCTACATAAAAAAGAAATATGAGGACCAACCAAAGTGTAATTATATAAAGTTTTCTGGGGACGTTATGAATGGTCCTCACAAAAAATCTAGCACAGATACCCTTGAATGAAGCAAAAAAATTTTCTTCTTAGAAGATTCTCTGCAAACATCTTCCTCCATTTCAGTCTCGGGAGAATTGAAGGGAGTTCCCCACAGCACTGCTCACTTCATTCTTTGTCAATGCCAGCTTCCTTGCAGCAACTTGAGGAGGAAAAGGAATACAAAAAAATTCAAGGATGATGGATACAGAATTCACATATAAGTTTCAAAATCAAATCTCAGTTTGCTTGGAATTAACAATAAATATAACCTTGGCAGCAAATTAGCATTTGGAAAAATAAATTCTGATGCAAATCATTCACGTCATACATAGCACCTTTCTGACTTAATGCCATTACACTGGAAAATGGGGGGAGAGTCTGACAGTCAATAATATTTTATGACTGAGCCCTTTCCTTACTGATATTCTTGCATGCATTCAGGAAATAGCTGGAATTAAATTGCATAAATTGTAATGACCCCTTTGAAAAATATCTGAATATGAAAAAGTCATTTTTTCAAATTGTGAGACATGCTATGGATGAGAAACAGCCTATTGTTTACCAACCTGTATTCGACTTGCAGATTTTAGTTCCTTGAAGCACTTCTTTCCTTTCTTTCCAAGAAAAGAATATGCCTGGGGTTACTTCCTTGCTAATAAGGGCCTTCACCATGTGGATGATGTTCTCCTTACCATCTTTGCCTCTAATACCATGCAAGTATGAAACCTAATGGCATAAACACATAATGGAAAGTTGACACTCTGAACATAGTCACAAATGTTTTCAGAAGGAATGGTGAGATTGATATATTAGGCCAGTGCTGCACAAAATACAGCCTGCAGGCTGCAAACAGCCCGCGAGGCCCTTGATTGCGGCGTTAGGTAAAATCAGAAATGGTCCTTTCAATAATTTGAGTTGGTTTAAGCTATTGCTAACAAAAAGATTTGATTGGCATCTTAGGTTTGATGGGTGAACCAATGGAAGTAGTCTCCAGATATCCTAAGTGACCTAATCATCAGTATGAAGCCAGGAGATACTTCACTTGGCACCAAGGGTGAACATTGGGCACAGACACTATGGGAAAAAAGAATGAACATACTAGTCATTCCCTTTTTTTGAACATTTTATATACTCCAGGAAAGGGGAAGCAGAAATAAGGAGATGCATAAGCACAAGAAATGAAAGGGGAGATATCCCATGTGGGAAAACCATAATAGCTACTTTTGCTCATTGAATCCAGCATAAGACAAGGAAGCAGGAGCACCCCTGTAAGAAATGTCATGTTGAAGCATCCCAAATGCCAAATCAGGTTGAAATAAAAAGCAATATATCGATCCTTACTTAATTAGGAAAATATATTTTAACCACAAAGGTGCACCAAAGGCCATGGTGTCAACAGCAGTTTATAAGTTTTTGGTTACAAGAGACACCCCTTGATACCCATGTGCCTATGGAATATTGGGAAATATATTCTACTGGTAAAAATATGCTTTTAAAGGAACTTTGCAACAACAATAAGAACAGGGAGGATGTCATACCAAAAAGGGATAAATATAAAATGCTAACCATGTCAGCATGAACAGTATGATCTGCACTCAACAGTTCTTCATAGACTTGAAGATCACCTAATGTGTTCTGGGGAATTTGTATGGACAGGTCTTGTGTAGTAATTGCCATTGATGAGACCACAAGATTGCTTCGTACTTGTTGATTTTTTTTCCATTAAGATCACTCACTGATTGACTTCTTCCAGCTTTCAGATGATCAACTCCTGGCAAGCTGAAATCAAGAATGAACGTGTTATAACTTATTCTGTGCATGGCCCAAGAAAACAAATGGAAATGTAAGAAAAAAGGGATTAAATTGAATCATTTCAATTATGGCCTAAATTGTTCATTTAATTAAATGAAAAAAGAGTATGTTCATGAAAAAGTAACTCCAAGCATATGTTCTTATGAAAAAGCCTAATCAGCTTTCATTCCAATTAACAAAGTTCATTCACATTCTTACTCTTCCAAAAGAGAGTTCTCCACAGAGCATATAATCACAGACATTAGATTTCATTTGCATATAAAGAAGAAATACAGGACTGAAGGCAAACTAAGGAAGATCTCTTACTTTCAAGAGCATAATACCCTTCGGCAATTCAGGAAACAATTTCTAGTTGAAAGGATACATTCTGAATGCCATATAGAAAATAATGATTTAGTAACCCATACCATAAAAAAGATAGCCTTCTACAGCTTCATTCATATGGCTTCTTTTCTCATTCATTGCTTTGAAATTATTCAATGATCATGCAAATGATATTTAATAGGAAAGCCCTCTCTATCTCTATTAATTCAATATGCAAAATACGAGAACCCTTGCAGCGCTTCAACTGAGTTATCAAAAGAAAATGGAAGGGTCCATCCAACCTCATCTTTCAAACTGGTAGGGGTTATTTTTGAAAAGGTATAATACTGAAGTCTACTTACGAGTACATGTTAAGTGGTCCTCCTGACATCTGCATGAAAAAGATTGACAGGGATGGTTCACACGTGATGGAGAGACTGATTGCTGTCTTCTTTGAGTCTTGCCCTCATATGAGTTGAGATGCTGATTTGGTCTCACCTCCATAAGAAACTGGATAAGGAAAGTACTCAATATGAAATTGATGAAGTGGGTTTTATATGGAAAAACTGAAGACATGAAGAAATGAATAGAACATACTCTGAGAAAATGAAGGGGGCTGAAGAATGTATGAAGAATCATGTGGCATCAGGTTCTCCTGTAATTCTACACGGTCTTGGAGGATATGGCAGGTACCTGCTTAAAATAGTTACTACATCTGAACTCCCACCTGATGAATCTCCAACTGATGGAACCTGCCGATGCGAATCTTGTTTCATTTCCTGGATGAACACAGCAACTTCTGAGCTTTGGCACGTTTTCTTCATCTTTCCTTTTCTTCCACTGCATGACCAGTCTCCAGACCAGATGTATCCTCAGCTAGTTTTGCTTTTTTCCTTGCTTGTTCCAAGCTTACTGGAAAAGAGAAAGCAACTTCACTTTCAAAGCCAAACCCAGATATCAACGTGTTATTAAACAACTAACCTGTAGCATACAAGATGCAATGACAACCATACCACTACCAGTCATCAGCTGGGAGATGATGAAGAGTCAAAGCCCCATCGAGGTTTCTGTCAGTCTTACATGGCGGTCAAAGCTACCTCCATCTCATTTTAATTCATCCATGTTGAAACAAAAACAACTTCAATCCCCCCATTGCTGTCTGGAAGAAATTCCACCACAAAAAATGAGGGCACTGCCTGAACACTGCCTGTCATTCTTTACAGACTCTGCTCTGTGAAGGAAAGAAAAATACTCATGACAATATATTTGTCGTAGGGTTTTGTGGAATTCAGGGGGGAATCCGAATCTCCTTAGGGAGAGACAGGATTCCACTAAACATGCGGGTTTACCGGAATCCTCTCGAAAGCCTCCATTATGTCAACTCCCTATGGGGGATTCCAAATCACCTGGATTAGCTGTCAATGCTTCCATCATTTTGTTTACCCTAGGGAGAAAGAGAATTATCAAGACACCCGGGGGAAATGGAATTTCATTTCAGTCCATGTACTGTATAGGAAGAAAAACATAAACGTCAAAAGATTCGAAGCGGAGTCAATTAACAATATACTTGTCTTATTTTGGGAGGTTGCACGGCTTTCCCCCGTGACACTTGAATGCGCATGTTATGCCTATTTCTTTTTACACTGCAGCTGTTGGTGCGACAAGACTGGTTGCACTTGCAGATGGATCCTGCATCCCCACTGGCGTAGCTTGTTTCTGCCCTCAAAGCCTTCGCCTTCGTTGATGCAAGCACTGTCATCCAAGCTTCTCTTTCCAGAAGGATCCCAGTTTCCTGGGGAATGTTTGGGGTAACTGGAGGAGAAACCCTAAAAGGGTGGATCATGATGTCTGGAGCAGTGATGTGAAATTCCACCTTTAGGGGAGTGTGAACCATCACATCTACCAAAATACATGCATGACAAGTTCTAAAATAAATTGCGTTCACAACTACAGGCCGTGTCTTGTTACTTTCCGATCACCCATTCTACATGTAACCATCCCCAAGTTATAACATTTTAAAGAGAGTCATTGCTTCTGACACACCCTATATACTGTGTTCTCATTAATAGCTATTTTTGAGTTTTCTTGAAAGCTAGGTCCATTGCAAAGTGTGATGTAAATGTGAAATGAAAGTGGAAGTGAAGTGTAATGTGAAGTGTAAATGGTCATTTGAAGGATATTCATGATTTTCACATCAAATGCCAGATCAAAAAATGACATTCACTGAGATAAAAATGCACATTCAAGTCACTTGAAGTGTCTGCCCCTGAGGCACATCTGAAAATTGCATGCAAACAATCCCACTACCCCATGTACTTTTCATTTGGATAAATAGTTTGGAAGTCAACAATAATGTAGCTCACCATGCCATCATTTCTGCATTCATCATCCCAAAGTGAAGTAGATGGGACAGATGATTGATTTGCATTCTGTTCCTGCAATGTGCTTTTAGAAATGACTTCAACTAATGGTATGCATACTAGTATTGGTACTTTAAACTTTCATTACTGGTATGCATCAGATTAAAAAGAATACAATCATCAATAAGGGAAAATACATCATTGTCCAGAAAGGGTAGAGGCACCACTTTATTGTAAGCTACATATGCCAGAAATCTCTCCCCTTGACCTATTGATAAGACTGATTGACTTCTGGCTGATGTTTTTTAGGATGGTATGAAATGAAAAGTAGTTCACAAATAGGTGCCCATATATGAACTGATGCTTCAATCATATATTAATCTTTGAATGAGTGTTTCATGAGCATGCAGTTGATATCGCCAAAATTGGATCCTTGAAGGAGTTCTTATGTCACTCCAGTTTTCTGTGAAATGCTTAGTATTCACATAGGCAAATGTACTCTTTGCACAGTACTCCTCCATAATAAAAATATCTCACTTGCATTTTATCTTAAACAAGGCCACTATCTCTGATGTCCTCGTATTCAAGGAGCTGTTTCTTCTGGTGGAAAGGGAGCAGATGTGGAACAGAGCATCCGAAAATTCCTGAAGAATGCATCTGACAGGGAAGGGGGAAGGGACCTTCGCAGGAGGAAGAAGAGGGAGACAGGGGCCACATAAAGAGAATGAAGTTGATATGATATAATGTTTAGTTTTCTAAAGAAGTCGATATGATCTTGTTTTGTTTTCTAAAGAAGATGATATGTTTTGTTTTCTTGAGTTAGTTACGTTAAATCTCTCCACAGAGCTTTCTCTCAATAGAAGCAATTTTTTTGCAGTACCTGGTGAGCACACGAGCTCCTTTCAGATACCTGTCATTTTTGTGATTTTTTTCATTGCTCAAGAATCTCAGGAGTTGCTGCATTCACTTTTCGCTTTTGAAATCCTGTGAGACCATACGAAATTGCTCCAAGATTAATGACAGTAATAGTTATTTAGCATAAGTTTATCTCAAAGACATTATGAAAATGCTTTGCTATTTTGTGATTATGACAGAAGGGCTGAAAGGTAGAGTGGCCTATCGGCAATAAAAGGTTTAGAAATAGGTGTAGTTGGCTTAAAGCTCATAGAACTTATTTACTTCGATTTAAAATGATATATTTTTTTAGGAATTATGTTAAAGATAAACTTTTCTATCTATGCATACTCACTTTTACGAGGATGATCTCATGGTCACTGGAATATGCACTGTGGATTTGAAAATAAGGGGCTCCCAGCAAAAAGCATAATCGATTGGCGTTGATCGATGGGCCACTGACGGCAAGTGTGACATATCATATCATGCCGCCAGTTTCGTCTTCGATGGACCGTCAACAATCCTACCTAAAAGTAGCGAGCGGCCCAGCAGCGATGTGCTAACCAGGGGCCAGCACATAAAGGGCCTTCAGCAGGCCGTCGAGCAGCTGGACCCTGGCTACAACTGTGCCATGAAGGGTGCCATGCCGCTCGTGTCGTAGCTGGCGGGCTACATTGCTACATCTCCCAGATGTAGCGCGCGGCCCGCCAGCGTTGCGCTACCTTTGATTGGCAGCGAGTGGGGGAGCTTGGGCCCTCATCACAGGGCCCATGTACTGTAGGCCCCACATTGGCGCTAAGGCGGAAGCCAACATTTGTCATATTTCTCGGCGAGACATCTGTCTTAAATATTCCAGAAAAAAAATTTCCCCTGAAATGAAGAGATATTGCGTCTATGGAGCTCTATTTCAGTGGTATGACGAAGTGGCTCGTTATAAGATCCCAGTACTTTTCATGCGGTACTCAATATTTTCCCCCAGACAACTAAGGGGAAGTCACTCGATTTCCTCTAGTCATTTGTTTACACAGGTTGGGCTGTCCAAGGAGACTCTTATTCGTGAAGTAAGCACGATTCGAATTGGGGCTTCACCCGATGGAGTGAGGATCAACTGATTCTGCCTCCCCCCAGGGGTTGTAGATTCGGGTGCGATAAAATTGAAGATCACCAAAAAATCTTGCGGACAGCGCTTTCAGAGCTAAAAAAGAGACATTAGTAATGAATGAAATTACAATTGGGTGCAAATCTCGTGCGGAAAGTGAGGCCTCCAAGGACGACAATCGAAGGATGTAGTACACTCTGGAGTACTTCTAGACAAACCGAGTGAGACTCGATGACAAGGCCCTGGAAAGGGAGCTCAACAATGCTGTGGAAATATACTCGTTGATGTTCACTTTTATCCTTTAAGCGCCTGATATCAGGCCAACGTGGGATTCGATGTTCAGCCAACTTGGGGCCGCTGGGCAGGCCTACGTGGAACCAACGTTGGCCCAACGAGGGTGTGAAATGTCCCCAATGTGAGCTCAATTGAATAGGAAATAGATCCCCCCAACAGATATCTGGGGAAAAAGAGTAGGAAACTTCTTGACGTTGAAACGTGAGAGGTGGGATCGAGATATTTTCTTGTACTGTCTTGGAATTACCTGAAACATGTATAGGTATAACTGAAATGTCTTAAAACTCTTTTTTAAGAAAATACGAGAATGCTTTTGAGGTTTTCATAAATTGGTGCTATGATCCACCCCTTATGAGAAAATGAAATACTGGAGGAAGATGACTGTTACTCACGTTTTACATTTGGCATATGCATTGTAGAGATGCATCTGCGTGCAACAAGAATCTCATAATGGGTGATTGTCTCGCTGGGAGGAGAAGAGTAGAGTATTCTTTTAGCACTGAATGCAAGAGAATCTTTCTGGTGGAGCCATGTAGCGTACATGCAAGGGCCCGTTTCATTCAAGGCCTGTGAGTGCACTTGAATAATCTCCCTTGAAAAGTTCATGGATGTTAGGAAAATGAGAGACCTGCATTGAAAATGCGTTAGCGAAAGGAATTTGGTACTCAGAGCTTATCTTTCCCATTGCATTATCAGCTGCTTACGAGGAGTGGTTTCCTTTGCTGGAGAGCGGGCTTTGATTGGTATACCGGAAGTACTTCATACTGAACAGCTCTTACTCGGGGCATATCTACTCTGCCACTTTCCTTTAAAAAATAAAATAAAATAAAAAAGGTCATGAGAGTTGAGGATGATTTAATACTGAGACAAGTGTGCCTCACTCTAAGAAGGAAGTAAATTTTGAAGAGAAGGAGACACCTTGAATTTGAATGAGAATATGCATTTTCAAATTAACTACGCATGTCTTGCATTGTTTCAATAGATATGAGGTCCAATTTGACTTTGACAATTTGACGCAAAACTCAATCACCCCTTCTTCAACGCGCCTGCTCAACATGGACTTTGCAGTGTCAAACGTATTTAACCCCTTAACTGGGAACTTCGGAACGCATATGTGTGGTGAGTCCATTGAGAGAAGGCAGGTGCCAGACCGCACATACGTGGCGAGTCCACTTAAGGGGTTAAATGGATTAAAATGAAGACCTCCACTGAAAGAAAAATTCCCAAGTTCGGCATCCCAAGCAGCTCGTTCCCAGGATGAAGCTAAATTGACCCGAAAACGAAAGTTTCCCGGGTTTTATGCAGAGTTTCACTCCCACGTGCCTCTGTGCTTTGAGTCGAGCTTGGGGGAATATGTATCTGAGGTCTTATTGGGTTTTCTTTATCTTAGATTTTCATTGGTCGCTCATGTAATGAAAAAAGAACTTAAAATACCACAAAAATGATAGTTGCTCGTAATTGATTATTCCTTCCTCTTCTTAGAAAGTCATTCTCGATTCCATTATTTTCTATTTGAAAGAAGTCCCTATCCTTCGCGATTAATTTGCAGTGAAGAAAGTGCAAATACAGTCATTGATATTGAAATCCTGTCCCGTTAAAAAATGCATTCTGCTGTAGACTTCCTAAAGGACAGAAGTTTTTCCTGCTTACGCCTACAAACGCTTCTTTGTGAGGGTGTTTAGAGGCTATATTTATAAGTTAAGGCCTTAGCGTGCACCAAAGGTCCTCGTCTCCTCGTTTCCCCATCTTGTTCCCAGCAGGGGCGTGCCGAAAGCTTTTGCCTAGTTGGGTGGTCCTAACCATCAAATTCCTTGCACCTGCATTTATTTCAGATGCACAATGACGTAGCCTAAGCTTATTTTGGGGATCCAGGAGGGTTGTAAGTTCATTATCCCCTAGGCAAAAAGGAGGGAGCGCTCAGCACATAGATTTGGAGCAAAGAAGCAAGGGGGATCTAGGAGTCAGGGAGACTTTTATCTTTATATTGCCAGACCTCAGAGCTCACAAATTGCGTCACATGTTTGTGCAGTATTGTGGGATACCGCTCCACTTATCACCTACTTATCTTGTTACCTCCCCCCCCTCCTTTCCAACTGTCAATCCGGTTCTGGCTGCCCCCGTTAAAAAGAACTTCTACGTCCTCTCATGGTTATGATTCATAGGCTGAGAGTCGCAATAGATGTTGATAAGCAAGCCTTGAAGTGGGCAGTTGCGTCAGTGCACGAGGGAGCTCTCCCGAGAGCTCTT